AATTTTTAATATATTTAAAATATTCAAAACGAGAATTAAACTTAACTGCAAAAAATTACATAAATGCTTTCAATATTCTGCACGATTGAGGCAGTACTGTACATTACCCAAGTCCCATTTGGTCTCTTTACTCGTTTTAAATGGATTTGGAGTAAGGAAAAGACACATCAAAATTAGCTGAAAGCTTTCGCATGCCTCTCCTTTGGGCTCTGAATTTTAGATAAGATTTGTATTTCTGTTTGGCGATTGTTAAGGTTGCCCCTTGGGCACTACCGTAACATAACAATGTTGAAAATGTTTTGGCAGTTAAATGTTCCTTCAATGGGTTTTAAAAGAACATAAATCTGCCCGTTTCTTAGGCAACTTGTAATTGTGTGTGTTATGTTGGCCAACTGTAAGAGTCTGATTGTACTTTGATGTTTTTTGATATCATAGAAATCTGTAAGCATGTCTTTAAGCTAGATTTGACTATCCTTTCATTCAAAATGAAGTTGGTAGGGAGTTTAATAATTTGTAGCGCATAAAAGTATGCAACATATTTGTATTCAATTTGCTTTTCAATGGGAATGGGCAAACGTTTGAAATAAAGCATAAATATTTTTGTTTTCTTACAATAGAAATATACAGGTGAATGTGATTGTCTGCTTTAGCCATAGCTGACTACTATTATTAGCTAAATGACAGGCTAAAATTTTAAAAAAGTTGTCACTCAATGAAAAGTGAGCGCAGCTGTTGAGAGCTTTTTGTCGTTCAGTGGCTCGTTGCAATGGAAACTGAGTCACGTGCCCCGGATTTTGGACAGATCAGGTGGCAGGACATGTGACACAATGTGACTCAAACACTTATTGCCCTACAGGCAGCAGCTGTCGATGTCGCAAATGCGTCTTTTGCAAACTTTTTTGTTGTTAGTTGTTTGTGCCTAGGCTGCGGCCCGTGGGTGTTTTTCATGTACTTCATTTGCTTTGATTGAACGCTGTTGACAACTTCTGGCTGTGAGGATGTGTGGCTGTGTTAAATATAGCAAAACATTTATATTCTTTGGAGAGATATATACATATATGGCTTCGTGTGGTTATACATATGAGTGTGTCTGTGTCACAGCGAGAAATTCATTTTGATTGAGACTTATGTAAACAAACCCGGAAGCTGTGCCACAATTCCCCCGTCGCGACGACACTCGCTATATAAATGAAACGCAAATATTTGTGCGTCAACACTGAGGCATATAAAAAAGCAATTCATAAAATGTCACACATAAAATTTACCAAATAGGTCCACCTAGAATAGGCGAAAAAAATTACATATATATGTACATACATATTTATATATTAAAACGAAAAACTTATGAAAAGCACTTTCGCTCGGTAGTTAAAAGGCTCCATAAATTGTAAACCGAGCGGCAACATAAATATTTGACAGACGCAGTAAAAGAGTTTCAACAATATTTATTTAATGAAATAAAAGAAAACGAAAAATACAAAAACTAATAAACAAGATAATAAAAACTAAAGCTAAAGAGTTGACAGAGCACTTATAGTTGGCTGACTCAACTTAAGGCATATATTGAGAAAATTATCATAGAACCAAAAATATTTAGTTGTTTCATTATAAAATTTTGTTTGTTGAGTTTCGCAATTTTTTTTTTTCTATATTATGAAATTTTTATTTTTTATATATTTCAATAACTATATTTCAATTACCTTATAATATTATTTTATACTTTATATTGCATTTAATTATATATGTATATGTTTTTTCTTTTTATTTATATGTTAGTTAATTTTCGTAATAACTTCTTTATCTTTATCATTAATTATTACTTAAGTAATCCATCTGCTTTATTTACTTTATTCAACTCGATTTCGCATCGATGAGCATTAAGGTCACATTTCTTGAACTATAATAATTTGTATCAACAGAATTGAGGTAATAGTCCATGATATGTTCCTAACGCCGACGTCACAATAGGCCTATAAACATATTTGTTTGCTATTAGTAATTGATTTTACGGATATATGTCGAATAGGCGATTCTACTTAATGTCTAGAATATGCGAGAAATAAATGGAAATTGATATGTAATTCCAATAACTGGCTAGTAAAACGAAAGACTGATGAGAGTGGGAAGGCCTCGACGAACTACTAGTCTTACAGTCTTATATACATATATAGCATGAAGTGCACAGATGCTTACACTTGTGTCCCACTTATGCTCTCGAAACCACTCTGAAGGCTCATTATATACTTATCGGCTGCAGTCCCTTGCTCGCTGCTCGCTGATTAAAAGATCTCATTAAATGTTTTCTTAGTCTTCTTCTCCGCGTCGAATTCTAATAGACTGAGTTTAGGTTTTCTAATCATGTTCGTGTAAAATGAGAAATGGTATTTCAGAGAGCTCTATAGTATTACCTTATATACATATATATGGGGAATATCATGTTCAATTCAAAACATATTGGAGAGCGCCTTATAGCTTTATCACCGTTTACATTATGCATGTACGATAAAATCCCTTTAACAATCTAGATCTGAAGCCCAATTTGCGTTGCCCCAAAAAGTACGCAACATAAATTAACCAAATTAAATATCTAATCACTAAATAGTCGTATATTTATCTCTCATACATTTGTTGACTCGCATCAAATTGAAAACATTGATTAAATAGTCCATTGCTATGATATGAAAGGCACAAGCTGCTGCCCGAGGCAATAAATTATCGCTCGATATGGCCAGGGCTCTGCACCACTCGCTCGCACCACACTTCTAGGCACCGTAACCTGCTCCTCTACCCCCTTTCTATTTGCGGAATTATTAATGAAACTGGAGGCGGCAGCCGTTGCATGCAATTAATTTAAAAACTAAGCAAATATTAATCATAATTCCCGCACGTTTGCGAAGTCCGACTATATCCTTTGGCCCAATGCCACCAAAGGATGGTTATGCGAACGGAATTGTAATACAATGGCGTCATATGGCGCATCGCACAGACCTCAAAGACAGCGACAACGACAACGGCAATCCATTTACTTAATGAAATTTCAAGTGTGATTCTAAACTAACCCTCGAGGCAGCAAGGACTACTAAAGATCCTCCTAGAAACCGGGGGTGGGCAAGTGGGCAACTGCACTGTCGCCCCCAAATCACACAAGTTATATGTGAGCCAAGTTCATTCATAAAAGGCGTCGACAGCCGAAAAATAACAAAAGCAACGCGAACACAACAGAAAAAAAATCAATGTGGGGAGCTGCGGGTTAGGGGCATTCCCTACGCAGGCGCTGCTTCTAAAACAAAACTGTGCCTAAAAATAGCTGGCAAATGTTAAAAACATATCAAATTTATAAACTTGTGCAGAAAAACAAGTGGAGTTCGGCCTAAAGAAGAAAACGGTAGGTGGGGGGAGGGGAGGGAGTGGAAGATGGGGCTGGGTTGCTTGGTTTGTGGTTTAGTTTTTGATGGGCAGGCTTAAAGGCGAAATTTGTGTAAAAAGTAGCAAAACATTTTGTTGAATAATCTTAAAAGAAAATGTGGCCAAATATAAAGAAGGCAGCATGGGGAGGGGGTGGGGAGGTAGGCAGAGGCAGGGGCAGCGTCAACCAGAATGTTCGCGCTGTTGCTATTTTTGGAACGGAAGGGAGAGAGAAAGTAAGAGCGAGAGAGAGAGACAGTTAGCCAGCGAGTGAGTGAGCGAGAGCGCAAGACACACACTGAAGACAGGCGCCAATGTTGCTGTAGGCGGCGCCCCGCCTCCTTCCACACAAGCAAGCTGGCACGCATTGCGTGGGCATGAAAAGCTGCACGACGCGAGCTGACGAAGCTCAAAGCTTTTTGGCGTGGGCGTCGCTGTCGACGCAACAGGAGTAGCAGTTAATGCAGCAAGCAGCGGCAGAGCAAAAGCTTCACACAAAAAGCTTGCCCACACACACACACACACACACAGACAGACAGTCGTTACCCCTGTCGTACAGCTGGAAAGCTGGAATGCATCACTTCGGCTCACGACGCACAGCGCTCGTGTGTTGGCCGTCGTGCCTCGGCTGGCTGTGCTTCGGCTCGTGTGCGTCTACCTGATGCACGCAGCGAGCTGGCGAGTTCAGTTCAACCTGGTGAGCGCAGCGTGTTGAACGCTCCGCAATGTGTTGAGCGGTTAAATAAGAAAAGTGACGCCTACAACAAGTAGGCAAAATTCCCAACTAGTGTTCTGCGACAGCTAATTCAGCGATTGGCGTTCGAGTGTGGCCAGCTCCGCTCATTGGCTGTGTGACATCTTCAGCTGCTGCCGCTGTCATCGTCCCCGTCGCTGTCTTTTGTGGCAACATATGGCGCACAGCATTGATGCCCAAAATGCAGCGGGCTTATCATGAGAGCTCTGCGCACCATCAACTGTGGTAAGTCACGGGCGAAGCTCGAAAAGAACAAACACCAAAAAGTAATAAAATAGGGCCAACCGAAAAAAAACTTTTGAAAACTTCAATGAAAACTCTGAAAACTTTGCGAATATGGTGCAAAGTCAAACTTTTGCGTTACTTCCGTTTGACTAAAAAGGGTTCTCTATTGCGGCCCCCTGCGCTGAAAAATATGCTACGAATTTGTGCAGCATATTTTTATGCAAATTGTGCGCGACGCCATCTTGTGCGATCGCCTGGAAAGTCTGCACTGACATTTTTATAATGAAATATATACATATGTATATATATAAGTGTATAAATATGATTATGAATAAGAACTGTATTTCCAATTAAAATGCAAATGAAATTATATAATTACCTGGTGAAATTGTGAAATATGATGGAAAATTGAGGCACACGCACATCAATCGCATTATTCATAAATTAATGATAAAATTACGTATTCATTATATGAATGAGACAGCAAAAAAAGAGAAGCAAATATCAGCAAAACATGAAAAAATTCCCACATTTAATGCATATCAATGTCCTGTTATCAAACAGATAAGAAACAGCTATAGATACAGTTACAGTTAAGGTAATAGCTACAGATACAGACACACACACGCACACACACTCACACAAAAGGTGAGATGCAACTGTAGTCGACTGTCGTCAGATGGGGAAATCTGCCCCTGCAACCCTATATCGAGTCTCTTTTAAAAACTGCGCAATTTGTTTTTGGAAAACGGCGAATGTTGATTTCCAATTGATATGCATTTTTCCTCCGCCTGCTGCTGCTGACCAATTACAGATACACAAAAGCACAGATACAGATTGCGAAAACTCGCCAGGCCTGTCAGCGTGCATATTAACAAGATTAAAAATAAATGCGAGTTCATATCTCACATTTCATTTTATTAATGCATTTTTATTTCAATTTTTCGCTCGAAAAAATATCATAAAAAAATAATACATTGCGCAGTCAAAATAAATATACATACATATAGATAGATAGATATTTATATATGTATATATTCATAAATGCTCGCGTGTGCAACATTTTGTTGCAGTTGCCCAGGACAACGGCAGCAACAGGAGCTTTCACAGGACTCGCTGCTTTTGTAAGCGGATCTGACAGCGCCAAAGCGGATCCCAGTTTGTAGCTCAGGATGTGCACAATTTCCATGCAGTTTGCTTTCAAATTGAAAAATGTTCTCCAAGCTGTTTTCTTCTAATTTGAAAATGGGTTGTGTGAGCTTCTGGTGTGCCGATGCACATACATACATAACAAAATAGAAAATAATAGAAAATTAAAACGTACTCAGCAACAGCTTAAAAGGCAGCTTGCACTATTTTTAGCTCGAACACAATGCAATTTCCTCTTATTGGCTAAAAGCCAAAAGTGCAAAGTTCTCAAAAACGGCTTATTAGACTTAGGGAGCTGAGCTAGAGAGTTCGAGCTCTTAGTTTTCACTAAATCAGTTAGCGCCTTTTTAATTGGCAGTCTGATGTTAGAAATAATTTGTTTAGATACTACAAATTCATGTATTAAAAAATCATATGAAAT